CGCAAGTTATTATAGAAACCTGTTTATTTCTTGAAACTATTAATTCTGGGTTCTATTTCCTTATGCAATGTAATTTTAATGTTTACTCTGTAATTAGAGTATACTTCATTTTCTTCTCCTCCTAAATAAATTAGCTTTAACTTATCTATTAGATTTATTTACGATGCAAATTTTTTTATGCAAACATTTTCCAGATATAATTTTGCTTCATGAAAGTTTTGGTTTATTCGATTATGGTAAATCTCATAGACTATCTGCGAAGAAATAAAATATACAGAGCATCTTCTCGAGAAAACCTATTATTTACCTCCTATTTACTGCTTATGGCAAAAAAATGCGATAGCTTTTGAAATTAGAAATCTAGGGTAAATTACTAATATTTGCGGTTTTAAATAGCCGACCACAGAGCAGCCCAATTTTAATCTATAAAATTTCCGGATAAAAGCTGCGTAAAATATCCGGTTTTTTGTTGTCTATAACAAATAGAACTTTCAATCGGAAGTTTAAATTCACTTCTGTAAAAGTTTTCATACATACTTGACACAATATGCACAGCATTTCGTAGGATATTTGAGAGATTTCAGTTAATGAAAAAATTTGATAAAAACCTTATAGCAAAGCGATTATTAAAATGAGTTATTAAAGTTATGTGAAACGGCATAATACGTAGGAAAATTTATTTCTCGGTATATAAGATATATTACAATTTACCGTCTTTGCTTTGGTTAATTGCCTATTTTGCCACCTTTTTGGGCATCTATCTTTGATGATAACTAAGCTTTGCTTGGAAATTCTAAATACAATATCTAAAATTACATATAACTAAAAAATATAAATGAGAGTTTTTTTTTTTAAAAAGTTAACAGTTTTGGCAATAATTTCGTCAAATTTATGTGTAATACAGAATGTTTGGTGCTTTAAAACATTAAGAGTTACTCTATGATATTGTAATAAATAATTATAAATGCTTACAAACTTTCCTTTTTTTAAAAAAAATAAACAACCGAGAATAAAAGCAAAAAGTTAGAAATATAAGCTTTTGCATGATTTGAATTCTTTTATTTTCAAAATTTGGTTTATTTGGCGGCCTTTAGACAGGTACAGGTAGAAGTGAGTGGACGCCAGACACTTCGCTGTATAATCGAACAGGTATTGTCCCAGCACACTAACCATCTAGAGCTTGGAACCCTTCCACGGGCCTCCATGAATGCGTGTTTTCACTGGTGGTGGAATTATGACAGATATAATCAGTCGGATGAGACTAATTCGCGGATACCTAGATAATTCTTGAGAACTTAGAGGGGGCAATTATTGAGATTTCTTTCATAAATTTGGGCTATAATGTAGCATATAGTAAGTACAATACTGCATTAACAAATGAAAATAGTACTAATTCACAAGTCAAACAACAAAAATCAGCGTTAATTTTCAAAATTTTCACAGGACTAGTTTCGATGGTTTTACCGAACCACCATCCTCAGCTGCAAAACCGCAAATGTTTGCAAATGAATCATTTGCGGTTTTGAAGCTGAGGATAGTGGTTCGGTAAAACCATCGAAACTAGTCCTGTGAAAATTTTGAAAATTAACGCTGATTTTTGTTGTTTGACTTGTGAATTGGTACTTATTCGGCGTGTTACTGTGTCTTAAATGAAAACAGTATTTAACAATACACATTATTTCTGTCTTGGATTTATAATTTTGTCATGTATTTATTCTTGTTTAGAGCCTTATGGGATTAATGAATATATGTTTGGGTACATCAATAATTCAGCAATCTCTACTGAGCTGAAGTTCATAGTTCCATTTATCAGTTCATCGTTCGGATCAATAGATCGTAGAGATTCAGTTTAGAAATTTAATGTATTGAAGCTATAGATCTTCTTAGGCTGTATCACACATCCATTTATTTGAGATGAACAACTGTTTCAAACAATTTTTCTACCTGCTTTACCAATGAAAAGGAAGACGCACAACTTTTTCCTTTCTTTCTCAAAAAATTATAAATTGTTCATTTTTAACAATTAATCAGCTATCAACAGCATCGAATCCTCGTCATCGACCATCATTTGTAGTTGAGAGCTAGTTTCCCCTTTACACATAGTAACCTCAAATCGATGCTTGGTTGTTTCATATCGTGTATCAAAACAGAAAAATTGTTCTTAAGAGTTGTTCTTCCGAAATGTTTTTAATATGTTATGCCACATTTAGAGTTTGCTAATGATAATTTGCTCTTGCTAATTTGGTGCTAGGCATCGCTCCCTTCGTTTGCAGATTTAGAGGCATTATGGCGTTATTTGGCATAGATCTCGGCCCAGAGAGTTGAGATTTCGTTGTTTATATTTTCATTATTTAGGATGCAGATGCCGTTGCGTTAAGATAATTTTTTTAAAGCAAGCTCCAGATTTGTTAGTTTGCATAGACGAAGGTTGCTTGTTAGGGGTTAGAATATGTGGTGAACTGCATCTCCCTTTTCTCCATAACATTTTTTCTCCATAACATTATTTCATTATTTTAAAATCAACGCTAACATTTGAAAAATATTCGTAGGTTTTTCAACTTGTTCTGGGGGTTACTGCATGTATTTCACAATTGATCATTTTAGTTTCGCAGCTCTGTTTTAGGAAGTTGGATGTCTTAGGTCTTTAGACAAAAGGATTTAAAGTATTAGAAATATATTCTTGAGCACATAAAGCCAGTAAATTTGCAAAAACTACAAATTCTAATACTGTAATTAAGCTAATCCGAAGAAATGTTATTTCATAATAAATAAATTAATGATATTTTAAGCCAAAATAAGTATAGGGGACTAATTACGTGTTGTTGGTGGTGTTGTGACTAATTTCGCTTGTCTGATATCAGAGCAAGCCCACGAAATTTAACGTGGCAAGAAGGCAAGATTGCGCCTGTCGTTGGCAAGGGCCTTGGACTTCAAAATTGGGGCGGATCTGAGCAAAGTTTGACAGTACAACTTTGCTCAGATCCGCCCCAATTTTGAAGATCATCCCGGGAAACGGACCACCAGCACCACCTTTTGAGGCTGAGTAGAGGCCCCTACGAAGTATAATTTCTTCTGTTGTGACTTATCTTATTTGTCTGGTACCATCAGAACTACTCCATAAGTTTTATCGCGGCAAGGAGCGCTTGCATCTATTGTTGACATCAGCCTCGGGCACATATATGTGATAATACGACTTTACTTAGCTCTATCCCAATCCTGAAAGAGAATCCGCCGAGGAATCGATTTCAAATGTCTTCCAACTCTCTTTTCCTACTACCAAACCACTGAAGAAGGCTCTCGGCTGGCCGTGTATTTTAAGGACCTCCCTTCCGGAAATTCGAACCCGAGCAGAACCATACAGCATCCAGCATCCCTAAGCGCTATGCCAATAAGAACGGCACGAAACACATGTAGCTCGCATGAGTTTTATTCTCGTCGGTCAACGCGCTGACTGAGTCAGATTTCGAGGTTTCTATGGTTTTCCTTATATGTGACGTAAATAAGCCCATTATTCTTTGAATGGTCTTCGATGAAAGCATTCTTTACAACTGGTACATAGGACTGTTGTGCTTAATTAAATAATCAACAGTTATTTTTATTTTATTTGTTTATTTATTTTTTAAATTTTATATCGCGTAGTGCGTATTACCTTGTAGATTCATTAGGGGTTTTTTGAAGCAGGAGACGTGAAAAGCTGTGCAGTGCCTCACCGGGATTTGAACTCCAGTTATCCAGAATACACGCCATGTGTGCTTCCAGTTACACAACGAAGACATGCGGAAACTAGGAAAAATACCTTATAACCTTACTTTATCTACAATTAATTCGAAGACAGTTCAAAAACTGACTCTTAGTCATTTGAATTTTATTGCGATAACAATAGCTACTTATAAATACAAACTCTCTCAATTTAAATCCCTACCTCAACTTCACAGAAGCCTTCTCTTCCTTGTAAGGGTATAAGTTGAAATGTGAGTGACTGAGACAGCGTAGATCTGAGTATTTTTTATTTATATTCATTTCCTAATCCACGGCAAATCGGCGGGGTTTTACTCTGCACGATGAAGGAATGGTGTTCGAGTTACAATAAATCTTTGGTTGTAATTAATAAAGTTATAAATTGTGAATTAAGTTTCCCATTCAGAAGTTCTCACTAGGATTTGTAAAACGCAACAACTATAACAATTTACGAATAAAAAAACCAAGAAAATAATTATCTCCTTATCTATGGTATATAAACAAATGATGAAATATTGGAAATCAGATTCCATACAATATGATGGTACATTAAAATGATTAAAAGCAATACACAGTATATAAAACCATGGTTTATTCATCTGACTAACAGCTACCAAAATTATATGATCTAAAATTAAAGTAGCATCAATTTCAAAATCTAAATTAATTTCAAAGTTTTATTTGTCTCAATAAAATACATCCGTTTCAGTTGTTAAAAATGGGAAAAGTAGCATTTTATTGCACAGACCAATGAACTGAATTAACATGAGTCACAATTTCGATTATCTATCCCAATAAACATTTTACTTGGGTTTCTAATCCTTTCTGGAAACAAATAAACAAGCAGTCTCACTTCATTGTTTCCAGTATTGTTATTTAATCTATTGGTATTAATTTTTCTCTTGCTTCCTATTCTAGTTTATTACTACCAATTCGTCGTTTCATTTTCAGTGAGGAAAAACACACCACTCAAATAGACTTTAAATAGCATCGCTTACTTAGAAATAAAAAAGTACCTTCTATATGCAAAATGAAATTCTTCAGATCAGTTTCCTTAGTATTACATAATTAACTCATTGTGCAAACTATAAAAACAATTACCGATAGCTATCAAAAGTATTTGATGTAAATTGATATACCTCTGAGGTTATAATAATTTCAAAAATTAAAAGAAGCATAAAGAGAACTGAGATATTCTTACATCTAAGCGTTATTTAAATAAATTTATTCTTTAAGCATTTTTCTGTTCACTTTCGCTGCAGGAAGTTGGGAACCCCGTTTCTGAAAACGACTACGTGCTTTCAAGTTAATATGTTGCTCAAGAAGACATCAGGAACAGGAAGTTTTTCGAAACAAGGCCTAATCTCGTCAAATACGAAGTTTCCATAAATGGGTCAGTTGACTTCTTTGTAGCTACGTGTCAATTAAAGCTTTGAAACAAAATTGAAGAATCGGAAAAACCTACAAACTTTTACATTACTAATGTCCGTGATGAATAAGCACAATGAATAACCATATACAGTATTATTCAGAGAGCATGTGTTTCAATAGAAAATTATTTACCATCTTGACAGGTAATGGACAATTTCTTTAAGAAATTCTTATGAATTAACACTGTAACAGTAACATAATTATCTACTCGAAACAGATTTATTACAAACGAAATAATTTGCTTGCACAAATTTCCCAAAAGAAGTGCCAAGATAGTTTACAAAATCACTATTTTTAGTGAAAAGATACCTTCTGCTTAACCTAACTACCATAGGTACGTAATCTAAATGCTATTATTAATGCTATGCATTATTTATATAACTTGGTGAAAATTTTATTATTTAATATTTTTTTCTAATATTAAACTTACTCTGCTTTATAGCAGAAGTGAGCTTTCCCCCTCTCTCAAATTTTTTATTTAGTTATAAATTAAGTATTAGAGTTTCAAGTTTCTCAAGAATTATTCATAATTGTAATATCGCATTTACTACACATCGTAAGAACTACAATAATGTCACTACTGGTTTGAAAATCAAAAAGCGTGAATCTACTGAAGAAATATGAACAAATGGATTTTTATTAAATGTTATTGTTTTTTCGCAGAATATCACAAGCAGTTTAATGATGGTATTTATGTACATATCATGAAATATGTCAAACAGAAAATAAGTAATACTGAAAGAAAAAATAATTCGACTTTTTCAGCTATGGCATGGCATAAGAAAGAGCATTTTGAAGTTAATTTCTATTGAAAGTGAAACATTGTGTTTCTTAACTTAAAAATTAATTAAATTACTTATTTTATGTCTAATTTAATTAAGGTATTTATTTTTTCTTTCTGTATTAATGTTCGAATTCTGTTGCAGCGGCCCTTACTTCAAAACCAAGGCAATGCGAACCGATTTATCAACACGTACACAAATGTCCATATGTAATACATTCTTAGACCAGTGGAAAAGTCCTCTTAAAAGGTAAAAAGATAATATATTAAAAAGAAAAGTGAATAAACTTCAATATGAAAGTACTAAATATCTTTTTGTGTTGCTCGCCATTAGCAGAATTTCAAAAATGCTTAAATCCTACGAATACATTATAGTACGATATATATTAATTTTCAATTTTTATTATTTGATTTGTTTTTGCAAAGATTGCATTATATTTCTTAATTTTCTAATGTTTTTTCAATACTTTGAGTTCTATTTCATAATTCCAATTAAGATTACCAAAGTTTAATTTTTATACAAATAGTTTTGAATTAAGCATTCGTAAAAACGAGGGTGTGTTTGGGAGTCGGGGGACAATTACTCAAGTATTTTATCAATTTTACTACATAAATTGCTTCTCACTCAAAATTTGTATTAGCGAAAATGCTTAATTCAGAATGAGTTCCTTGGCACTCTACTTTGGTTCTAAATACCTTCACTTCAACGGAACTATTTGGCCTAACTTTAATTTGCCAGTTTGGCATCCCCATTGTTACTTGAATAAAAGACGAAACACCTTATTATTAATTATTGTTTATTGAACGTATTTATTAATTATTGTTCATTGAACGGGAAGTCGGTTTGTTCTCCTTGAAAAGTCAACTAATTTCAGGATCAATAGCAATCAATTACTTGCTATTTAATTTAATTTCTTTTTCAAAGTTTGAAATTTTGTTATTAATGATTTAATTCAAGTCCTCGTAAAACATTTTTAACAATTTACATTCAAGTTACTTTAAAACAGTTTTCGGAAATTAAATTCCTACCTATGAGTTCACATTTTTTTTCTACTAAAATAATATTAGGAGATAATATAATCAATATTCTTTAGTAAATAAATTATTATTATCTTACTTTGCAGCTATTGCCCAAGTATTAGAAGAACTTGTTTTCGAACCTAGAGAATTTAATATTATATATATAATTATATATTATATATAATATATATATATATTTATATATATATTTCAAAATGTTTTGTAATTATATATATATAATTCGTATATATCGTAATTGCATTATATAATAATATATATATATAATTCCGGGAACTCTTAATTCTACACGTAGGGCATACTAAGCTTAACAGATAAGAATTATGCTAAGCACGTTATGAAATAAAATGTTTTAAGTTTCAATAAAATAATAAAATGTGTTATAATTTCAGTATAGATATTTTATTTCGTTCTTAACGTATCCATATTGAAGTTTATAAGCTATTCACATTTCTCGTTAAGTCGCATAAGCGGATTTTGAATCCTAAAACTCAATTATGGAAATCGATACTTTATGATAATGTATAGCAAATAATTTTTTTAATTTTATTTAAGTGATAAATTACTGCTCTCTGTTTTCACTTTTACTGCACCTCTCTTCAGTTCCTCTGCAACGCAAAATATTATCAGTTAAGACCTTTTATGTGAATTTAAGGTCTTCTAAAACCCAAGAGTTTCCCACCGATCGACTCTTTCTTTTTCTCTTGTTTGAAAATATGTGAGCTAAATAACTGTTTTCCGTTTTTCTTTAGTTTTAGTCAAATTTATGTTTTGGTGAAATTTCCTGGATATTCCAAGTATGACTTCATTTATTTTAAAAAACGTCCCTTAAAAAATAACGCTTTTTGTCCCCTCAAAAAAAAAAAAAAAAAAAAAAAAAAAAAAAACTACGTTGTTTAAAACTAGTCGTTAAAATTCCTTCATTGCCCTATTAAAAGAAATATCCTTTCAATCTGCTAGGGCTTAAGAAAGAGTGCTTAGAGAATGTTGAAAGAATTTTATAGCTGAACGAAAATAGACGATTAGTTGACTTAAAATCTAATTAGCTGCTGACATCTGCAACTGTTAAATTGCAGAACCAGTACAATTGGAAATGAATTTTAAGACTCAAACTGCAGGTTTTCAGATGCAGATGTAAATGCTAAATTGCAGAACCAGATCAAATGAAAATGAATTTTAAGACTCAAATAATTATTCTGCCAATCAATCCAATCCTTAAATTTTAATAGTGGAAGAAACTAATAACTGCAGTTACATTACAGATCATTCTGGAAGACATACCTTCCCATTAGCTTTTTTTTAAGTATCAAGATAATTAAAACAACCTGAATTAAATAATGATTGATTACATCATATAAACAAGTGTAATAAATAAGCATTCATTAAGATAATTAAGCAAACAAGCTGAGACAAGTATAAAGTGTTAAGTTACAGATTAGTCGGATTTAAACATGAATAAAATAAGCATTTTAAACTTAAATAATTTAAACAAATTACTAAATAATTAAATCAAAGTAACTTAAAGCTGATTAAATTTTGAAATAAATTATTTAAAATCCCAACTCTTGACTTCTAAACTCTTAAGTACCATTATTTACAAACAATTAACAAACTTGTACGAACTGAAAGGATAACTAATAGCGACATAATAAAAGCAATACCTTGATTTCACTTAAGACTTCACAGAGCAGCTCTGAATCAACATCAAACAGAAGTTTCTCGGATCGCTTTCTAAGAGAAACTGTTTTATATTCACGTTACTTATAGGGAAGATTGCATTTAATCCGTTCATCGCCTCAACTTGAGCTCAAGTCAAATTGGCTATGTCTAGCCGGTCTTATCCACTCGACTGCTAGGGAGCTGGAATGTATTTGGATTCATTAGAGCATAATAATGTATATCTAAAGAGGAGAATGTCTTCGTGAAGGACTTTTTAAGGAAAACGTGAAGTATTCACGTTACACATTGGGGGGGTGGGGGTAAGACGCTGTGATATTCGATCACTTTTAATTAGTGTTTCTTGATGAATGAAGCATAAACGAAATAAAGGCCGAAATTCTCGAACCCGTTCTACTCGGCCGATTGATGAAATTCAACTTGTGTTTTACATACCGACATAGACTATATATTCGGTTTATATATAGCGTTGTTATAACATACGTATCTTGACGCAAAATGTAAATTTTTCTAAAATGATATACCAATTCTTTTTCCATATTTCGATTACACAACTTAAATTATGCCTAACTACCAAGTTTTTTAAATTTTGGTGAGACATTTTTTGAGTAATTCGAGAACTTAGCTTGGCGCATTTTTTTTTTACTTTGAGCCAGGAATAATCCATATGGTGAACTTCTCAATTTATGGCAACCTATTTCCCTTTTCCTTTCATTCTGTATGACGGAAGGCCCACCAGCGACCGAGCGGTAAAGTAGTTGAACACTGGTAGTTCGGTCCGATGTTCGAATCCCGCGAACGGGCTGCCTGCATGGGCGTTTTCGTGGTTTTCCCCATGTGTAACCTGTATACGAACCAGTTTCCCTTAGAAAGTCCTCCACGAAGGCATCCCTCCCCTTAGGCAGATAGCCCTCGAGGCTTTGCCATAATTACACACACATTGTACGACGGAAAAAAGTATCGCTTCTACTTTCTTGCATATATTTTTACTTGTGTTTTTAATCACAGCTATTATTTTAATTTATATTTACTTCTTTAATTTTTAGAATTTTACTTTATTTGCTTGAGTTGCATGGTTGAATTATATTTTTTTAAATTTCTCTTTATTCATTCTTCACTTTATTCATTCACTCTATTTATTCATATTTCTTTAAATTATTCTTTTATCATAAGAATCCAGTACTTTTGTGATCCACTTCAAATCCAGCATTTCTATTTATTCATATTTCCTTTTAAGCCTATTTATCAAACTAAATGCTTTGAGAATTTTATTTTATTTATTTGAACTGCATTTCTTTTGAAAGAATATTTTGCGACCCAGTATAAGCCATGATGCATTTAAAACTGCATATATTAAACGAGGAAATACAGTAAAGCACAGTTAATGAATCTTTCCAGTGGGCCTTTCAGAAAAGGCACAAAAGTGAAGAAAAGTGAGAAAGACGAATAATCAACATTTTAATTTAGCATGGGATACGTGTACATTGCTTTACACAATTTTCCAGCTTTTTACACAGTTTTATCATTGTGCCGTATTATCCACATTCCAGAATAAGTTTAAATACATCATTTTTAAAATTGCAAGAATCGAAAAGCATAATTAAAAAAAACTAAGTTTCATGCAATTTTGTTTCATCTTTTTAATATTGTTTCGTATTTCTTGATACATTTTGCAAATATCTCTGCAATCACCCAGTAGAAACATTAGGTTATTTCGAAGCAGGAGACATGAAAAATAAGCAATGCCCTCGCCAGGTCTCCAACCATGGAGCACTGGAATACGCGCCGAGTGTGCTGACCATTACACCACGAAGGCATGCTAAGATGGCGAGAGAAAAACCTTATAATCTATATGTTTTTATTAACTATATATCATAAAACACTTTTGAAACATCTTTTTTTTTTTGTAACTTCCATTTTATCAGTATTTACTCAGCATAAAAGAGTGAAATGATTTTGATGACGCTATTGGAAGTTTTAGACGCTAGCCATTTTGATGACAGGAGATGAAACAAAAACCTAGTCTCTTCAAATTCGGCTGAGACAATTTTGGTTTCTCCGTTTAGGATATAATATTCTGTGATGTAATTTAAATTTATGCAGTCCTTCAGTTAAAAAAAAAAAAAAAAAAAAAAAAAAAAAAAAAAAAAAAAAAAAAAAAAAAAAAAAAAAAAAAAAAAAAAAAAAAAAAAAAAAAAAAAAAAAAAAAAAAAAAAAAAAAAAAAAAAAAAAAAAAAAAAAAAAAAAAAAAAAAAAAAAAAAAAAAAAAAAAAAAAAAAAAAAAAAAAACAAAAAAAAAAAAAAAAAAAAAAAAAAAAAAAAAAAAAAAAAAACAAAAAAAAAAAAAAAAAAAAAAAAAAAAAAAAAAAAAACAAAAAAAAAAAAAAAAAAAAAAAAAAAAAAAAAAGGCGTACTTCCCATTCACATTTTGCAGTTAATATAGACCTATTCGCAGGAATATTTGACATTTGACGCGCTGCTCTTAATAGAAAACTTTAGCAAATTGTAATATAACTTTAGCAATATTTGTTTTCA